CCCCCTCGCCCACCTTCCAATCTACCTGCCCAGATTCTGCGGCCCCTGTATCCAGGACCAGCCGCAGCCAGGGCCATGCTCCCATTTGTGCTGCGGGCAACTCAGGGACAGGGAGGGACCGGCCCACTGGTCAGCCCTGGGAACGGAGTGGGTGAGCACGTATGGGGGCGGGGCAGGAGGGGGCTCTCTGAAGGCCGGAGGCAGCACACTGGGGTGGCAGAGGCGGGAGGTGGTGCGGGCCGGCGGAGCCTGGCCCTCCAGCGAGGCTTTGCAAAGGAGAGCAGGCTGGACCCCCGGGGGAGAGGTGAAACTGGGGAGTGCCAGGAGGAGGGGTGAGGCCGGTGAGGAAGGCGACACGGGACGAGGCCTGGCAAACAGGGGCTCAGCGCAGGCCCCTGAGGAAGGGGGGCGTCTGAAGCCCGGTGGGCGTCCTGCAGGGCAGACAGCGGGTCCAGTCTGATCAGAGAAAGCACCTGAGTACCCGGAGGGCACATTGCTCCAAACCTGCAGCAGCCCCTTGTTACCCAGATGTTGTGCCCAATTGCAGAACTGCTGGCAAGGGCACCCCGTGACCCCCACTCTGGGCTGTTCACTCAGGCCCTGGGGCAACAAGCCTGTCAGGGGGGATCCGGCCCCACAGGCACCCCACCCTGTGTGTGATGTAATTCCCAGGGGGGTGGGAGGCAGTGGCAGGGCCCCACCCTCCCCCGTGCCTGCTAGCAGACACATTCCAGGTCCCGGGAAGTGTTCACCAGGATGTGTGCTCACCACCACTTACCAGCTGTGACTCAGAGGGAGTGTGGAGGCGGGCACAGTGCGGGGCGGCCCCAGCAGAGGGGGGCAGTGTCCCTCTAGTCGCCCGCAGCAAAACAGGCAGACCCGACACTTTCTAGAGACCGGTTATAGCAGCAGAAACGAGACAGACACCCCGACCCAGGGGCTGGGCCTCAGTTTCGGAATGTGACAATTTATTTGGAGAGCAAAAGAAGCTTTTCACCCCCCTTCCTGGCATCGATACAATATTGAAGAGCAGCGGAACAAAACGTACAAGACGAGAGAATCGGCACAAACCCCCCTCCCCCAGACCAGAAACAGCCGAATCCAGAACAGAACCAAAACCCACACCCGAAACAAGCCACCTTCTCCACCCGCAGCCTCTAGGACAGGGGCAGGCGGGCAGGGACCCCGTCGCGCTGGGGTGGCCTGTCTGCTCCGGTCTCCCGCCGACCCCACCAGTTCCCTCTCCGTCACCACCAGAGGCAAAGTTTAGCCAGCTGGGCGCTGGATGGTTGAACCACAGACAAAGGCAACAACACTTCATTTTTTAAATGAGAAAGAGAAAAGAGACAGTGCCTTCCCCAAATATAGAGCTATATACGTATATTTTATATATATAGAATTCATTCGTGCACAATTCATTAAATGAGCTTTTCAAAAATTAAAAAAATTATAAGATACATTTCTTTAGGCCTTTGTGTTTTTAAATTAAAACCAACAACAACAAAAAGTCTCCATTTCCACTCCAGCCAACAGCAGGGGCAGACCCCGGAACCCTCTGTTCCTTCCACCCTGGCCTGTTGCAAAGGGTCCCCCATTAGGCCACCAGCCTCCCTTTGCCTAGTGGAAGCATTGCACACAGTAGGCGCTCACACACTGTTGGAGTGAGGTGCTGACTCCTTCAAGGTGGAGGGGGGAACCCTGCAGGCCTGGCAGGTGGGGTCCTCAGTCCCCACCCAGCCTGTCCCATTGTGACATCTTGGTGACTGTCAGCAAGATGGGGGTCAGGCTTGGGGGACCCACTCCTGGAGCTGGAGGCTGTAATGCTGGGCTTTCTGAGTCTGAGGAGATGCAGACAGAAAGAAACAAAAACCTTTCAACACTTTCCTTTTTTTTTCTTTTAAAAGCGATTCCTTAAACCATACAAGCCCCCAAGAGGCTGCCCTGGGCTAGTGCATGGGAACCTGTGCAGCTGACCAGGCGGGGCTCCACTGTCCGAAGTGGGCCAAGTGCAAAACAAACAAAAACCAACAACAAAAACCAAACCCCACAAGGTGGGAAGGACGGTGTGTCCTCGTGGTCGCCAGAGGCTAGAAAGGCTGGCAGCCGCTCACTCTCCACCCCACGCCCCCCACTTAGTTTCCTACCCTGGGCTGACCCCTCCCTCAGGACCACGGGGCTCAGGGGCAGCCTGCCAGCTTTGTGGTGGCTCCAGGGCCCAGACCCCACTAGTTAGAGGGATTTTGAGACGGCCAAAGGACAGAGCAGCTGGGCTCTTCACCCCGGGCAGCAGCTCTGCCCGAGACCCAGTGTCGTGTCTTGTAAGTGGGTGATCCCTCCCACAGTGCCCACCTCACACTGCGCCTGGGGACTTGATCGTCACCTCTTTCCAGAACAGATGGAGCTCATTTTGACCCTGACCCCGTTGCAGGGTGGGAACCAGAGGAGGCTGTGGGAACGGTGGGCGGCTGGAGGCCCAGGGCCTGACCTCAACCACCGCGTGACCCTTGATGGCTGCCTGGACACCGGCAGTGCTTCACCAAGAGGCCTCGCTGCCCAATGCATCCACTTCACAGACAGGCAAGTGAGGGTCGGGGGAGCGGGCCAGGGGTAGGTCCCGCCTTCCCATCTCAAACAGAGGCACCAGACCTCACCTGTCTCCTATGACATGTGGATGAGGAGGCTCGGCAGTAAGGGGACGTGACTGATGCCCCCAAGGCTGAACCTGGGGGAGATTGGGCTGTGGGGCATTTCACATACAAAAATAAAGCAAACCAGACTGCAACTTCTGCTTGGTAATTAGGCAAATGGAAAAGCAGCAAGGGGGAAGGGCCCATGGGAGGCAGATCCGTGCAAGAGTGTGTGTGTGTGGGGGCGCTTCTGGACCCCTGCTCCAAGCCACTCTGGAGAGGTAAGGGGGGGGCTCTGCTTGCTGGCAACACTGTGCCCACTCAGGCCCTGCAGGGGGCTGCCCACCCAGGAGCAGTGTGCGTGTCTCTGAGAGTGCCAAGGTGGGGCTGCAAGTCTGGAGCTCTGGGGCAGGCACTCCCTCCTGCCCACGGTTACCCCCAGTCTATAGGGTCACACCTAAGAGTCCTCCAGGGTCCAAAGCTCTATCTGCCTGGAGCTGCATCTACTACCCAGCCAGGGAAACCCAGGGGTGTCATGGTCTTTGGGGTGATAGGGAGAAAGAAGCCCCCCACGGGGTGGCGGTAGTAGGGACCAGGTGGCCCAACAAACTGGCGAAGGAGCGGAACAAGAAACCCAACTGCACCTACTCACCAGACTTCCCGCAGAGCTACCAGCGGCCCATCCTGGGGCTGGTGGGGCCCCTGCTGACCCCCCACTTCCCCAAATATCAGCTCCAGTGGCTAGCCCCCTTGGAACCAGCTGTCACCCTTTCCTTGAGGGAGTGCAGGTGTGGAGTTGGCCCAGGGCAGGAGGGCTTGCGCTGCCACGAACGACGGAGGCAAGGCCATGGGCCACGACGCGGGGACACGCTCTCTGAGCCCGGCCCCGCCCCCCGGGGACGTGCCCTCGGAGCCCCGCCCCCGACGCTGACGCCTGGCCTGTGCAATCACTGCGTCACTACTTTTTCTTTTAAATAGCTTTCTCCCCTCCCCCCAAACCCCATAGGAATCCCACAATATTTTTTTCTATTTCTTTTTTTTCCTTTTTTTGTTTTTTGCAAAACTAAGTCTTTCACTTTCCTGTCATAAAATCACCTCTGAAAACACAACTTCTTTACAAAAAAAGTCACGAATGACACGGACTCTCAGGAAAACACATTTCTATGGTCTCTGGAAACACCTGTAACTGGCACCCAGGCGGCCATGCCCCTGGGGCGAGGGGTCGGGGGACATCGCCTCTGAGGACAGAGGAGAAACACCAGCCCTTATTTGGGGGGAAGCCAATTGGCACTTGGGCAGCCACAGAGCCAACACAAAGGGCAGGTGCGGAGGGGTCCGGGAGTGCCAGCCCCCCAAACCCTGTGAGGGCTCTCATTCCATATCTGGGGGTGGGGAGACCTATCAGGAAAGGCCCTCCCACAATCAGGACTAAGGAGTCTGCCGCCTAATCGGATTCCCTTTCCGCCGTCTCCTCCCTCTTGCCACCATGCTTCTTGGCTGAGACCCGTCACTCACTGCACACACCAGGGGGCCACGCTGAGCTGCGGGCAGGGTGTGCCACTCGTGCCAAATCCAGACCAACGGTGGTCTAGGGCAGCTGCCCGAGGCTGTCGTGCAGCAGACTCCCACCCCGCCTGCTCTCTCTCCTGAAAAACACAGGCCCCGCTTAGCTGCCCCACTTAGGCCTGGCTGTCCTCCCCGTGCCTGGGCTCCAACTGGGGCTTTGGTTTCTGCCACTGGCACGGATGCCTCCGCTCCCTGGCAGCAGAGGGAGAAAAGCTGCCCAGAGCACCCGAGGCCTCCCACCGCCTGGAGGAGGCTGGGCTGTGAGAAAGCCTCCGGTCAGAAGCAAAAGAGAGGGTGCAAGAGAAGCCGGAGACCCTCGAGAACAGGTCCAGGCCTCCTCCTTCCCCTGAAACACGCAAAAGGAAGGTGGAAGCTCAGGGCGGGGGGGTCTCCCCTCTCTGCCACAGTCCCCACCATGCCATGTATGTAGCCCTGAAGGCCTGGCAGTCAGGCTGACCACCCCAAAAGAGAAGGGCATGGGGGCCACACCCCTGGCACACCCAGGCTGGAAGGGCTGGCCTGGTGGCCTCCACAGGCCCAGCGCATGGCAAGAGAGGGTCCGGGCCCTTGGCAACCCCACACTGAGGAACCCCAAAGGGAGCCACCTGGAAAGCCTAAACCCAGTGCCCAATGCACAGACGTGAGGACACACGTACAAACGCGTGGGAGCACAGACATGCGTGCACGGCTGGAAGCGTCCACAGCGGGTTCTTGTAGCACCTTTGCTGGGGAACTGAAGGGGCCTTTCGATGCTGGGAGGTTGTGGCCAGCTGAGCTCCCTGCCCATCCCCCACCTTCCAGAGCGAAGAGGTGGGGTGGGGCCTAAGGGGGCCTTGGGTCTCCTCCCACAGTGGGCAGAAGACCCCTGCCTCTGGGTATGGCCACCCTCATTGATGTGGAGGGAGGGGCCGAGGCTGGCCTCGCCCCAATATCCACCTGGGCTCTGCCATCCCTGCCCCTCCTGCCCAGGCCTCTGGAGAAAGTAAAGGAACAGCGCGCTGGAAAGGGCCTCCAAGGGGCCCGAGGCTGCCGGGCCAGCACCGAGATATCAGACATTGTGCAGGAGAGCTGGAAGCAAGCTGGGGGGACAGGGTGGGATGCGGCAGGGGCGGCTGAACCCTGGGTGCTGGATTCCTCAGAAGCTGCCCAGTGGGCCCCACTGTGCATGGGTGGGGAGGGCGCCAAATGGCAAGAGGGAGGACTTCCCAGTGCCCTGGTCCCACCCCAGCCCTAATCTGGTCCAGGACTGACCCCCACTGGGCTTCAGAGGGCTCCAACTGCCCTGCCCCATCCCGGGGTCAACACCAGCCATTTGAAACAAGCAAAGCACAGGCGGAGGTGTCTGAGGGTGGGGGTGAGAGCAAGAGTATGACCTTGGGCAGGAGGGCCCCCCCCAAAGCCCCCTCTGTGATGGAGCCCTCTCACTTGCTCACCCCACTGCCGCCACCCCCACCTGCAGCACCTGCTACCCCAGCAGCCACCTTCTCGAAATCCTCAGGGTTGCAGAACTCCTTGATAGTGACCGTCAGAAGATTGCTGGTGACATCAGTGACGACCACATTGGAGCAGGGTGACATCTCCGGGCGCCAGTCCCCAGCCTCGGGCTCAGAGGTGGTGCCGGTGGGCTCAGGGGCTGTGGCCAGTGCCTGGCTGGCGGCCGCACTGACCTCAGGAGGCGCCCGCTTGCTGGTGGCTGCCGACTCGGGAGAGATGGACAGGTCGAGCACCTCCGGCTCCCTCCATTCGGGGCCAGACGGGCTCATGGTCTCGGGGAGCAGCTTGGGGGGTGAGTCGTCGGGGTCAGAGGATTGGGGTGCTGGTGAGGGGCAGCCGGAGGAGCCGGAGCTGCGGGTGTCATAGGGGGCAGCAGGCGCCGGCAAGAGCAGCCCTGGAGTGGCGGAGGCAGCAATGTCGGCCTTGCTGGCTTGTGGGGGCGGCAGGGGGCCGGGTGGAGGGGGCTTATTGTACAGCGCGAAGGCGCCGAACTTCATGTGGCGTATCTGCGTGCGCAGGATGCTCTCACTGAACTTCTTGCTCTTGCCGATGACGCGGTTCCGAGAAGGGACTTTGGGGCGGGCAAGGTTTCCAGCCCCCTGCCCAGTACCCCCTCCACCTGTGCCCTTGTCGATGACCTTCAGGTTCAGGATGATGCGGTTCCGTTTAGGCTCCCGAGGCTTTACTTTGCGATTGATGATGCGCACTGTCTCCGAGAAAGGCGAGATGGGTGGACGCAGGCCTGGGCTGCCCCCTTGTGGGTCTGGGCGGGGCAGGGGGCGGCGAGACATGCGGTGGCAGCGCCGGATGTCTTTCTTGAGCCTGTGCACGGCTGCACTGGAGTGCAGCTTGGGCGAGGAGGCGCTGGCGCTTGGCTTGACAGAGAAATGCACATCACTGATGCGGAGGGCCTCAGCCTGGGCCCGGGCCTGCGGGGGAGAGGGGGTGGGGTTGGTGGGAGCTCAGCTTCTCACTGCCCTCTTCTGGACACCCTGTGCCAGTCACTCACACAAAAGGTCTATTAAACCATCTTGAGCGCACCTAGGAAAATCAGTGCTGCTCTTGACCCATGCTAGAGAGAAAAGGAAACGGATTCAGACTGTACAAGAGATTGGAGGGAAATGAGACCCTAATCCGGCTCCAAGATACACACTACCTACACAAGCTCAGCTACAGGCCACGGAGACGGACTGGTTGGTGGCTGCCCTCGCTGATACAGGAGTGTCAACCACTGGGACACTGCAGAGACAGGGGCTTTCCTCAAAAGCCCCTGACCAATCCTGCTCTGTGAAGGAGCCCAGCCTGGCCCTCCTCCACAGACCAATTCTCGGGACAGAAAGAAGAGGGAGCCCCCTCCCTGTTCCACCCACACCCTCAGCCCTAGTGATTTATTTGTAGGATCCCAAATGCTGTGTGGTCTCTCCGCCTCTGGACTGACTGCATCTCCGGCTTGGATTCGCCTCCCAGATGCTCACCATCTTTGGGACCACTTCATATTCTCTCCACTAAAATGGTGAGGGCAGGGCAGCTCAGCAGAGGTCTGTGGGTGGCCGGACACAGTCCCAGGGGCCAGAGCCAGCTGCACACCCAGGTGTGAAATGAAATCTGCAGAGCCCCAAGGCTCTGCAGCATCTCAGCTGCTGCATCAGGGACACTCCAGGTGTGGCAGAGCCCTCAGAGACCCCAGGTGCACAAGGCCACATCAACTGCCCTCCAGGGTCTCCGTGTCCTCCACTCACTATGAAAGTACTAACGAGGGCCTGCCAGCTGCTTGGGGCCACAACTATGAACACAGAGACTCTACCCAGGGGGGCCAGGCTCTTGGGGGGAGGCAAACAACAGGAAGTGAGGATGCAGGGGGACTCCGTGCAATAAAAGAAGTGTGGGGCCTGAGGAGCACAAATAGGGTTGCAGATCCTGGAGGATGAAGCTGGAGTAGCAGAGCCCAGGTCCTTCCAGAGTCCAACTGCACCCCAGGTGGCTGCAGAAGCCCAGGTGGCGGTGAGAGGATGCTGCTTGGCCAAGGGACCAAATGCCATGGCTGGAGGTGGGAGGCTGATCTGTACTCTACAGACACCTCAGCGCCTGGTGTGGCAAGGGACCCATTAGGGGGTGACTGCTTCCATCCAGGGGGGAGATGGTGATGACCAAGAAAGGAACATTTTCCCCTAGTCTGTGAGCTCCCTGAGTGGGACCTGTGGCTTGGGGTCTCTTCGCCTTACCCCACAATGGCACTGGGGTGCCTACCTAAGCAGAACCTGGGAAGTAGCCTGTATGCCCCTGAATTTGAGCACAGCCCCCAGATGATGTTTGCTGACTCCCTTTCAGCCACTAGGTGGCAGCACACAGTGCCCAGGCCGTCCCTGATGGGGCTACCAGCTCCTCTTGCTCCTAGCCAGCACAACCAGGTACTGGTTCCCCTACCCCTCTTCCCTAAGGCAGGAGAAAGCCACCAGACCTTCCTTGGCACGGCAAGCAGGGCCCGTAGCAAGGTCAACCCTGCCAGAGCTTAGGGGATCTTGTTCTTTCTGATCCCCCCAGTGGGGTCAGCATTTATTCCCTCTGTATATTGCCTGAGTCCTTGGACCTCCGTAGTCGTCCTGCCAGAGTTCAGCAGTGATGGACAGCCCCTGGGGGTGGGGACCAGGGGCGTGGGCAAACATCAGATCCTGGATGAAACTCCAGCTCCGTGGGCCTCCTGTGCCTCTTCCCCTACCTATGCGATCACAGCAGCACCCACCACAGGGGCCCCTAAGACCAACAGTGCCTGTCCAGCACAGTGCCTGAAAGGCAGCAAGTACTCAATAAATACCAGATCTGTCCGTGGTGTGGGGTGGGGGTGGGGGTTTATGAGCAATAAGCTTTTTCTAATGTATGCTTTCCTCACTTCAATGAAATGTCTTCCTCCATCCATCTCTAAATCCAGGGTGGGGCAAAAATAGGCTTACAATTTGGAGTCTGTGAAACACAGTTTATTTCTGTTTTATTGCTGATTAATTCTTGTATTATTTGCCCTACGAAAAACCATAAACCTACTTTCGCCCCACCCTGTACAATCTATTGCTTAAAAAGAGACTGGTTTAACCCTCCTCCTTCCCTCCCTTCTCCCGACTGAAGCTTTTCTGCAGGTAGGCCCGGGCCTGCCACCCACAGCCGTGTGCCCACGGTGCTCTGACTGGTGACAGGCATGGCTGTGCACACAGCACGGGAGCTGGGCGATTTGGGCTGCTGATTCCATGTGACTGAGGGTAAGTCACGGCACCCGTGGCCTCCTTTCCCTGTCTGTAAATGGGGATAATGCAACGGACTCCTGGGCTCCTGCTCTCTTCAAACTAGCTCCCAGCATAAAGTGCCAGCTGAGGGCAACTGACTGTACACACTGCCTCTCAGGGACTCAGAGCACCTGACCCCTGCCACCCAAAGTCCTCTCATCTGCCTCCATCCCCGGTTCCCCCCATGGTTTCCTGTGTGTGTCTGCCCACCTTGCCCCTGAACCTGATGAGTATGGTCTGAGGTACAGGGTGACGAAAAGGACGGGACGGAGCCATGAAGTTGGGTGGTGGGACTCAAGGTAAGTCAATTCCCCTCTCTGGGACTTGATTTTCTCATCTGTGAAATGGGGATAATATGCCCCACACACTTCATAGGGTTGTTGAGGGGATTACAGGAGATAATCCATGTGGGGGCTCAGCTCTGTGTTAGGCCCCATAGGCTCAGGAACTAGAAGCATTTAAAAAAAAAAAAAAAAAAGGCACTTCGTGAAATCAATGCTCACAGTCATTACTCCGTTCACCGCTAGAGGGTGCTCCCGCAACGCAGAGAGGCTGTCACGCAACCCACCGGCCCTCCAGCTAATCCCGCCAAAGCATCATCAAGGGTTAAGGCTACTTCATGGATCCCCTAAAATGTGTGCAGATGCGGGTTGGGGTCACAAAAATATGTAATTCTGGAACCCAAAATTTCTTTCACTTTTGCTTGAAGTCCAAAGCAAACCCTTACACATCCACAGTCCTTCTGGGTAGGGAGGCGGAGCTGGAGAGGCCCACCTCACTCTCATTGGGCTTTGAGCCTTTTGGATACATTGGTGATTCTGAGCTTCTGCATTCTGCACAGTCTCTTCCCTGCAGAGTCCTCACTGCCCTTCCTGTACCAATTGCCACAAAGTCACAAGCTGTCAGGGTGGGAAGGGCCCTGAGACAATCTGAACCCTAACAGGGAGACTGCAGCCGCCCAGGGAGGTCCTCCTGCAGCCCTGCCTGCTGCCTCAGCAATCTCGCCCTTCCTTCTCCAGACTCTGCTTTTTCTCACCAAAAAAAAACACAAAATAAAATAAACCTCCCCCAAACTAAGATGGCTTCCTCAGGAGCTAGGTCTCTCTCCCTTGCCAAGGCTAATGTGCTCTGTTTTCACTCCCCCTCTCTCCATCCTCATTACAGCCTCTAGAGACAGAGGCAGGCGGAAACTGAAGCTCAGAGTCCTGAAGCCAGTGGCCCAGCCTAAGTGATAAGCTTCAAATAAAGTGATTTAGGTTAAATTCAAGTGGAATCCCTCTCCAGTAAGAAGGGAAGGCATGCAGAACAAATCCTAAGAGAGAGAAGGAAGCTGGGGGCAGGGAGGCAGGTGGCCCCCAAATGCCTCTCCCTGTTCCCTGCCACGAGGAAGAACACATTCACTCTTCCCTAATTCCAGGCACAGCTCAAGAGTAGATGGCTCAAGGCTGGGAGAGATGAGGGCTCTCGGGTACAGAAGCGACCTCCCTGCCACCGCCTAGGTGGACAGCCCCCACCTGCTTCATCCATCCCTTTTCTGGAGCCCTAATGGTCTCCCCAAACCCTGGTCTGTCCGTGAGAATTATCCCACTCCTAGTCCCAGACTCCCAGAACCCTCTTGCTGAAGCTGGAGCCGGCTGGGGTCGCTGCCAAGGGCTCCTAGTGGGCTTACCACCAGCCCCTGCCCAGCTGGGGCCCGTCTGGAAAGGCCCGCCTGCCTGGGCAGCCGCTGATCTGTCCCTCCCTAGAAGGCCCCGAGCTGTGCCTGGGCTAGGGGCCCGAGAGGGGGCTGCTGGGGCTGGGCCAGGTTACCTTCAGGAGGAAAGTTTTGGGTTTGGGTCCCCTCTTCTTGGGCCCATACAGCTCCCGCTCCCTCTCCCTGCAGATGATAAACGCAAAAGGTTACAAAGAGCCCCTTCCCGGGCCCCACTCCGTGCTGCCCTCCCCGGCTCCCCCGGCTCCCCCGTTTCCCCGCGCGGCGCCCCAGCCGAGCCTCGGCCCCGCCACCCCTGCCAGCTTCCCAAACTCACTTCTGCTCGAAGGCTGCAATGAGCCTCGAGTCCAGGATGTTCTCCTCGGGCTCCCAAGTGCTGTACCTGCCGAGTTACACGCAGAAAATAAAAATGAAAACCAGAGAGGCAGAAGCACATGCAAGGGAGCACACGTACCCCCCCCCCCGACTTCCCCCCTCCAAGAAAAAAAGGCCTGGTGTCCGCTGCCTCCCCTCCCCCTTCGTCCCTGGACTCCGAGACACTCACTTGATGGCCCACCCCTTCCATTTCACCAGGTACTCGATGCGTCCCTGAAAAACAGAGAAGGAAAAAACGGGAGAGTGGGGGTGGGGAGGATGCGGGGACGCGAGAAGGCGGCGGCGCGGGGGTGGCAAGATACCCGGGGTTAGCGGGTCCGCTTCACTGGGATGGTCCGCGGACCCGACCAACAGCTGCGGGACAAGGCGTCTCGTCCCGGGAGGCGGCTCACCTTTCGGATTCGCCGTTTGATGATGGATTCAGCCGCGAAGACCCGCTCGCCCACTGCAGACAGCTCCATCTTGCTCAGCGGCACCCACAGCCCATAATACTCCCTGCTCCCGCGGCCGGTGCTGCACCGCTCGCGCACGCGCCGCAGCGCTCAAGCCTCGACGGGCAGACGCGCGGCAGAGCGCGCGTTCTCGCTCCAGCTGTGGGCCGTCACGTGACCCTGCGGGCGAGCGCGCCGTTGCTAGGACCTCCCCCTCCCCCGGGGCCGTTGCTAGGGAAAGTGTGCGCACGCCGGGCGGGGGCGCGCGCTGGTTCTTAAAGGGGCCTCACTGGTGGCCGGAACCTTGGCCCAGAGCCTAAGGCGGGGAGGCAGTGGGTTCTGAGCTCGTAGGAAGCCGGGCGTTGCACTCTTGCATTTTCCACTCCCCTCCCCATCTTCCTGGCCCCCGATAGCTGACAACTTCTCTCTACTTTTAACCCTACCCACCCCTCCGCCCCAGCAAGTCTCACCAGGTCCCAGGCGGGGAAGGCAATGGAGTCTGCAGCCTCTGCGCATCTTTTCAGCAGAAGTTTGCAAACAGTTAAATATGATACAGCAGAAATGCTTGCTTGCCAAGCCCTGCGGGAATTTCTTTAAAACGCTGCCACCGCCCCATCCATTATTTATGTATTCGTGGGAGAGTGGTTTTGTAACCAGTTCAGATGAATTAAAACAAAAAACGCCACCGCAGGAAAGGTGGGGGATGCAGTGAATAGGGCCCGGGAAGGCCGGTGCATCTGTTCCTAGGCCAAGATCTTGGGCGGCACCTGCCTTCATCCCGGAGGCTGGGTGAAGACCGCAGGGAGATCGGTGTGGTGATAGGGGAAAGGAAAGAGAGGGCGCGGGGGTAAGAACGGGCTACCCACACTCCACATTGAGCCCGAAGCGGGTCGCCCTTGGGTTATGCGGCGGAAACTACCCTCACGGTCATGTCTACGTGTTTTCTTATTCCCAGGCCCCCTGGCCACGTCACTCTCCTGCCGCCTGCAGTTTCTCTAATGATTCCGCCATTACTCACCGGGAGACCAGACCCCAGCTTCCTATTTGGGGAGGGGCTGAGAGACCTGGGCTGTCTGGGAAAAGACACAAAGCAGCCCTGCCACGCCAAACGCTCCATTTCTTTTATTTTGAATTATTTAAACTTTATTTTTTATTACATCAACAGTCTTGTTCTTTGTAAATTAGAAAAACGTAAGAAGAAAAGCAACTGTTGGTAACCTCCATAAAATCGTTAACATCTTCACGAAGCTTCTTCTAGCCTCCGTTCTGTGCTCACACGCACATTGTATATAATAGTAAATATATTTATTTATTTTTAACAAAATAGGACCATGTGATTCACACGATCTGGAATCAGCTTTTCTCCCGCAATAGTACAAAAATAGAGCTCTTTTTGGTGTCATTAAATACTGGTTTCGCCCTCATTTTGGCGGCTGTGGTGGGGCCGAGAAGGCAGTTGGGTGGCTGAACGGGGAAGTGGGGAGGGCCAGGGTTGTCTCTTGCTTTCATTCCTTGTTTATCAGAGAGGATGATTTTTACATTTCTGTGATGCAACACCAATTCCTGCGGTTTCAAGTCAACCATATCAACATTTCCGATTCTCATTCCTGCCTCTCTGCAGATTTGTCTAATTATTTTACCTTGGAAGAAATTGCCCTCCCCCCAGCCCTGAAAATCAACAGGCTCTTGAGACATAGATGTTTGCTGGCCAGCCCAAAGTGGGCGTGGGCATAAGAACAGAGCTGCCCTCCTGGGGTGATGAGAACCAATGGGCAGGTGAGATGTGTAGCTATTGAGTGGGTGGGTGTTTTCAGGCTGAGGGAGAGGCTGAATGAGGCACTCAGTGAGGCTGATAAGCATTAATCCATTTGTTAGTTCATTCAGCAGCTTTTGTGAGCTCCTTTTAAGGGTTCGTGTTAAATGATCAGAAACAAAGTTGCCTAGGCTTGAGCCACCCATCAGGCGAGAATGCCACCTGCCACCTGGGGTGACTAGTGCCGGAGTACAGAGGTGTTAACTTCCTGTGACTGCTGTAACACATTTCAGAAAATCCAGTGGCTTAAACAACACAAATTTGTTATCTGACAGTTCTGGAGGTCAGAAGTCCAAAATCAGTGTCCTTGGGCTAAAGTCAAGGTCTCCTCCAGGGCTGGCTCCTTCCCAGGCTCCAGAGGAGAATCCTTTCCTTGCCTCATCCCATTTCTAGAAGCTGCTGACATTCCTTGTCTTGTGGCTGCATCACTCCAGTCTTTACTCTTGCCTTCCCCTGACCGACCCCTGTTGTGTGTCTGGTCGGCTCCAACTCCTGGCCGTGACCCTGTGTCCTCAGCAGCCCTCCCTAGCTCCTGTGGACTCATGCCTGTGGCTTCTTTAATGGAGTCAATGCATCTCATATTTGGTATTCCTCTTTTCCCGCTGCTTTATTTTACTCCCAGCCTAACTGTCTTTTCCCAAGAATCCTGCCGTCTCACGAGGTGCCCGAAGCAGGCAGGACGGCTTCGCTTCTGTCGTTTTTGCCTCCAGCAGTGTTTCAGGCTCCACTTGCTCTATGACCTATCTCTTCATCTTTCTGTGCAGCCCTCCTTCAAGACATTATTTCAAATGAATCAAATTTTTTTCTATCAGCCTCCTTCATTGTTCAACCTCCACCTCCATACACGGTCATTGGGAATATGGGGGTGTGGATGATCTTAGCCTTGGTCTCGAATGATACATCTTTGCTTTCGATGATCTTCCCCGATTCTTCCACTGCTGTCCTTTCAGGCCTCAGCCTTCTCTTGATCTCTTAGCTGCAGTTTCCGTTTGAACTGGTGACTGAACCACGTACTGACATCCTTTCTCCTTCCCATAAGCACCCTTGCGATTACAACGAGGCCATGTGGATAGTCGAGGGCAATCTCCCCATCTCCACGCGCTCTCCTTAATCATCTCTGTGAAGTCCCTTTTGTCATAGGCTAACATTTATACAAGGTGTGTAAGGTACCATATTCCTGGTTTCTGGGGGTCAGGAAGTGGGTGTCTTCGGGTGGCGGCATTACTCAGAAGACCACAACCGGAATGTCGAGGGTGCCCTGGGAGTCTGGATGTCAGAGTTCTCTGGAGGCAGAGTCGGTAGCCTGTACGTAGTGATACGCAAGGGGAGATTTATTATAGAAATAGGCTCATGTGGTTATGAAGGCTGAAAACTCAGTCTTCTGCAAACTGGAGACCAAGAAAGTTATTCTGGGCTTTTGACCCACAGAAACTGAAATAATCCACGAGTGTTGTTTTAAGCCACTAATTTTGTGGTCCTTCGTTGCAGAGCAGTAGAAAACTAACACGTAAGGCCATTGCAGACTCAGGGATGGGGAAGCGGACTCCACCTCTGGATAGGAGAAATGACAAGGTCACACTGAAAAGGGCACTCAGGGCCATTATTGGAATAACATACCCTAAGGGGGTCTCCAGCGGGGACAGAGGTTATGCTCAGAGCGGACCAGATCCTCGGGGTCGGATGCTCCCTCCATCCGGGCACCCGTGGGATGCTGGGCACTTGCTTAATCAATGTCTGTTGGACGAAGGAAGGAATACATGCACTGAAACCTGTGCTATGGGTGGGGGGTGGGGGAGCGAGGCCCTTGGATAAAAAAGATTTGCTTGTGCTTGGGGTAGAGAGGGGCTCAGGGATGTAGGGGAAGTGGCTTTGTCTTGGGCTTAGATGTCAGCCCAGTGTGGTTGGCACGTTCAGGCTGTGTCTTGAGGCTTGAAGTGGACCATCCCCATCCCGATGCCAAAAGGCAGTGCCTTGCGCTCAGAACCACAGGCCAGGGACCTTCGTTCTGCCCCCAGTCTGGGGTCCTGTTGGCCTGGAGCGAGGGTCGTAACAGCAGGGGTGGCATCAAGTGGGCGTTTAATCCGATGGCCAGGTCTCTGCATTCGTTGCCATCATTTAAACGACGTAAAATGACTTTCTGCAGATGCATTCACTGTGACACACCCTGACATCAGCTGTTCTGTGTTTGTTGTCACATGACTTAGGAAGGACAAGCTCAAGGAGTGGGGGGGGTGAAACAGGACCGGAAGGGGAGGAGCCAATTGGAGAGCAGAGTGTGGTCTCAGGTGCAGGTCTTTTGGGGGGTGCCCAGCCTCACCCTACTGAGAGCTCTGGAGTGTAAGTTACTGCTCCATCTTTGTCCCCACCCGCAGGCCCTGGTCAAAGGCTGCAGGGGGAGCCTGCCCTGGTCAAAGGCGCAGGCCTGCCTCCTTCCTCAGTGTGCGGAGTGGCGTCAGTGCCCCGGTGGTCTTGGGAAGGAGAGTTGCAGGAACCAGCTGTTGGAGGGAAAGGCACGAGGTGGGGTCGAGGTGGGGGCATGACAAAGGGACCCAGGGGTCTGGGAAGAGAGCAGACACCACTGTCCAGGGCCGACCACAAGGCCCCGTACACGGCGCTTTGTGGGCTCTGGGAACTCCAGCCTCGTTTCCACCCAGGTCCTTGGTTGACCCCTCTGCCTCCGCCACTCACGTTTTCTCCTGACGGACACCGCTTGTTTCTTTCTTTCTTTTTTTTAAGGATTTTATTTATTTGGAGAGAGAGGGGAAGGGAGAGAGAAAGAGAGGGAGAGGAACATCCATGTCAAAGAGAAACACCCATCGGCTGCCTCCCACACACGCCCCGCACACGCCCCGAACAGGGGCTGGACCCACCACCCAGGCACGTGCCTTGTCTGGGTTTCGAACCAGCGACCTTTCACTGTACGGGATAACATCCAACCCGCTGAGCCACACCAGTCGGCCATGCGATGTAATTGGACTGAGGAAAGTGGGAAGAAAAGGGACGAAGACATGCAGTCTGGTGACAGTGGGAGTCCCGAAGAACTGAGCCACGTCCAGTGCCGTCTGAGCTGTCGCTCCGTGGGCTGTGTGCCCCCGAGGAACGGCTATTTTTAGAAGGAAGGCAGCGGAGTCTTTTGGAAACATGCCTGAATTTGGTCATAATTGGGCACAGGACACAGGGAGCTCCAATTTTGGCAGAGGGATCTTTTGGAAAGGCCGTTCTGACCGAGTCATTCATTCCTCTGCGTGAGGTGCTTCAGCTTGGGGAGGGGCCAGAACTCCAACCGGGGATCAGAACCTCTGAGGACTCACTGCTGTCTCCAGGAGGGAGTTCCAGCTCCTTCTCCCTGG